GTTTCCGTAATGGCAACTATATCATATCTGCCCTCATTTACCTGAATTTCTAGTTCACCCTGTTTACTGTTCATACTCTGCATTGGTATATAGACATTTGAGTTCTTTATGACTGACCCTGTGTTTACTTTCTACATAACCTGTGTGGTGCCTGAATTCCCCTATTTTCTTACCACCTGTTTGATTAGTGTTCTTTGTGTGGCACTCGCTATTAAAAGCTTGATTTGCTTGATAACAAGGTTGATATTCTTGTCCACACACACATCTATGTTACATGCATTGCTAACCCTATAATTTTTTGATTACCAGGGACAGGGATGTTCTGTATCAATTAACTCACTGTCCCTGTTGTTTAGTTTAAATATTCCTCCAGAAAATCTGTGAGTTTATTGCCGAGTAACTCAGTCCCTTTCTTTGATGGATACAAACCATCTCTTTTGTACATTTTTTCATTGGACCAGCTACAGACATCATGACTAATATAACCAAAGCCTTCCCCTTTATACCACCCCTTTAGCCACATATTGAATTCTGCTATATGCTGGCCTTTTCCATTTTGCTCCTTATACACTGGTAAAACCTCTGAAAAAGTAAGCCTACAGCCTATCCTGCTAAGTTCCTGCCCCAGGCTCTGGAAATCATTCTGCACAGAGAGTACATCTTTTTGGGAAAGATCATTAGTGCCAAGATGTACAATAGCATCCACATCACAGTCCTTGCTGGCATTCTTGACTATTTTAAAAATACACCTCTTGGCCCTACTGGGAGTAGCACCTGGAAGACACCTGACCTATTTCAAAACCTTCAAAACCTGTCCTTTCCTAAATTTACATCCCTTATAATTGAATCACCAACCAGAAGGTGGCTTCTCTTTTTGGATGCCTTTCTGTTCTTGCATAACTGATGTGTAATACCTGATTCGCACTTCTCCCTGTCAAAAACAAGTTCTTCATCTCGGACCACGATCCCCTGCTTATTTGAGTTATCGTCATAAATACCTTTACCTGTCTCCTTCATGTCCCTATTAAGGTCAGCAAGGGCACTGTATCTGTTATGCAGGGACACAGCGAAAGCTTTGTGTTTATGACTCACACCTCTCATACTTGTCCACACTGCCCTTCTCCTGCAGGATCTTTGTGGTAGAGGGGGCTGATAGTGCGGAGGCTCAATAGAGTAGAAGGGCTGAACAGGACACCTAATTTCTGCCTGAAGAGCACAGATTACAGACCCTAGATAAATAATCTGTCCTTGTAGACTAGTGATTTGTTTACAGATAGGACAGGTTCCAAGTTTGAAAAGAGTACTGCGAAAGGCAGCTGCAAAACAAGTGTTGCACTGAACTAAGCCAAACATTCTGAGATACAAGGAATCTCAGACGCACTTGCCCTGAATGTACCGCTGCTGTTTAAGCACTCCTGATCTACTCAACAAGCCAAAGATTCAGAGAACATTGTATTTTATCTATTCGTTTATTATATCTTATTTTCCTCTGACAGAACACAAAATAATATGCACAGTTCTTCACCCTTCTGAGACCTGCCCTGGTTTTGTTCCCATAACAACCCTGCTCTAACTGGCCCAGTTAGCTTCCGTTTTTAGACCAGAAATGAAGAAGAAAATTGTTCTAACCCTCCTTCCAATAAATACATTGTTTTCTTTAAAAAATGCTTCCTTCTCGCTCTGTCTAGTCAATGCAATTTTATATTGAAATATATGGAACTGCTTCTAGTTTGCTTAGTTTGACAACTGCCAATGTCATTCTGAGGTTGTAGAACTTTAAAGAAATGGATCTTTGAGGAAAAAGCATTTAATCTTCAATAACAAGAAAGTTGATGCTTTCAACTCAGCAATTTTTTAGTTAGAATATTCATCACTGGAGTGTCTTACAATAATATATGTTATGGTGCTGATGAAACAGAAGATTGGCCTGAGGTAGAGACCAAAGTACTGTAGTGCTTCTCCTCAATCCATATAAAGCAGCTTGAGGGGCTGGCAGTTTATTTTATTTACAGGTTGAAGCTTACTTTAAAACAGGGAATGGAAAAACAACTTCCCAGTCAACAGACTAGTTTAGAAGATTGAAAACAAGTTGGATTATGGTGAGAAAGCCAGAGTGTTGATGAAAAGCATAATTAATCTTCCCATTTGCTGGCCTGATTCCATCTGCTAAGTACTACAGCACCTCGAAGGCATGTGTAAATTATAACATTGAGCCATCAATAACTGCTCACCTCAGAAATGTATCAAAATATGCCCATATGACATTTAAGAATAGTGCTGTGTGCACTACAGTGAGATGAATTCCAGCTCATTAAGATCAAAAGTAGTTCAGGACTCTTGATTGCTGTAGGTTGTGATCAACAACTTTCACAACTGTCCTCATTTTTTCCATGTTGTCATCTTAGCTTTTCAATGTGCATTCTATTTTCTTAAAGCATTCTTCATATTAATTTTATCACAGGAGCTCTCCCACAAAGTAAGGATCACATGGATGAAAGAAGTCAATACTCTTACTATTAAAATTCGCCACAATTTTACTTGAGACCTTAGAGCAGGGGTGTCAAACTGCCGGCCTGCAGGCCGAATGCATCACCTGGAAACCGCGCTTACCCCATTGCCGTCAATGGGGGGAAAGCTCTGATACATTGCGCGATGTCACATGACATCGCAAGTTTGACATGTCTGCCTTAGAGGCTTATTCTCATGAATGGCAGCAAATATCCCTATGCATACCTACAATTTTCTCTAACACTGCAAACAAGAAAAGCACACTGAACAACATATAAAAATATATATTTGTAAGTTTATGTCTATAAAGATATCTGTGAATAAATAATGTGTTATTGTGGTTAAATAATATAAATATTAAAATAAAGCATTGAAACTGCCCAGAGTCTCTGGGAGTTGGGGGGCATATAAAATTTGTTGTCAAACTATATTTATCAACTTTCAATTTATTGACACTTAAAAAGAACTTTATACAGCTATAACAGGGCAGTGGTTGTTTGGGAAAGATTTGGGCATTCCATCAAGAGCTTTCTTTTCTATTTTTAGTATAGAACCAAGGAATACTGCATATTTGCATTTGTTCTATAGTGTAACTTTTCCTATAATTTAATTAATTGATTTAATTAAACTTGTCTTGCATGTTATCTTGTAATTATCACAGTTATCTCCCAGAGCAATTAATTTAAACAGGAACAGACTGGATTCTACAGTTCAACACCTCTGAGCTAATTACTATGAAATTATCACAATATTTCGCTTTTCTTATGAACAATTTTTCCATACTCTGCTTTTTTTAGTATTTTAAACTAATTTTTTTTCATCATTGCCATTTTTGCAACTTTTACTATAGAGTATAAATCCCTCCATTTACAGCACTATATCAAATATGAAAGCCTAAGAATAAAAGTAGTTGGCTCATTCACTAATATATTTTTGCACCTGCTTTAGTAACATTAAACTATGTGTGGTGCTAATTATCCCATCAGATTTTTCATCCAGATGTTGAAGTCATTTAAAAAAATATTTCAGGCAGAAACTAATCCATACACTCTTCAAATTTAGACATAAAAATGTGAAGAGTATATGACATAGGTTGTGTTCTGTAAAAATCTGCAGTACTTTTTTATATCTGGGAAAATGTATTTAGCCATATTGATCATCTAAACTGAAAAAAATACTTTTAAAAAAAGATTCCAGTGTAGAATAATTGTTTAGAACATGAATAGGAGATATTTTTTTCTTAATCAGCCACTGCTTGGAAGAAACAGGCAAAAAAATCTGCATCTTTTTCTGGGACAAAATAAACGTTAACTGCATACTAGCTGAGGAATTGTGAAAATTGAAGTCCACATATTTGAAAGTAGCCAAGTTTGAAAAATACTGCTTTAGAAACATTTTATAGGCAAGACTAAGGTATTTTTAAAGTACCAATATCAAAATGAAAACCTGTAACTTTCTAGTCCTCACCCTCTGACTTCTGCTACCAAAGCTTTTGACCTTTGCCTTCATTACTTGCTAAACTTTAGCTGCATTTTTGCCCAGACTTTGCTTCCCAGATTCAGTTCTAGCTGCATCATTGCATGTGAACCTGCTCAAATATCCTCTGCCTCATCAGCCATTATTTGAACAGGTGCCCAGACTTCTCCTTGTCCATCTTCTTTAGTGGTGGACTAAACCCATATGATAATTTGCTTATTTTTTTAATAAAGCAGGACTGGCTGGATTCACACAGGTTAAGCTAGCTCTCCTTAATCTGTGTGTTGTATGTGTAGTTCTTAACTCCCAGAAATCCCCCCTCCCCAACTTCATGGTTATTACTGAGAGTTCTGAGAGTTGATGCCTCCTTGTTGGGGTGGCTATGCTAAGTCACGACATAACCTTTTACAAGCCAGATACAAATATGCCAAATACAAATTCAGGGTATTCTGGCTTAGTTTCTACCATAGCTATTTGACTTTTGCCAAAGTCTCTCTGAATGTTAAAAATAACAGCGCCTCTAAAACTTGTGCCACTACCTGAAGTTGCATTCACTCCTTTCCCGTATCTTTACAGTGCGTTATCTCTCACAGCTTTACAAACGCGTCGGCCGGAGCCAAAGCAAACATTTCTGTCCCGAAGCCTTTAAAAAGCAAATATTTGAGGACTAACTCCGAGCCACCTTGAGAAAGGGAGATCCCGCCCCTCTCCGAGTCAACGATTGGCGCGTTCCGACTTTCGGACTCAAGCGCTCTTGCTGGGATTAGTCAAGCGAGCTGTCAATCGCTCAGGTGTCTCTCTTGGGCAGGTAGGGGCTAGGCGCTTTGACTACCGGTTTTAGTTCGCCCTGTCCCGGCTCACGAGAAAGAGCGAGCGAACAATTGCCGGCCCGTCGCCTCCTTAGTCGCTTGTTGGATCCGAAGCTGCGCTTTCCAGGCAGGGCGCGCCGGGTGATGCCGGTGACGTAGCGCGAAAGTCAAAGGTGAACAGCCGGGCTAACCTCCGGAGCGCCAAATCCAGAATGAGTCGGTCGTCCCGCGGCATAGATCTGAGTTTCTTAAATGGCGAGGAAGCCCGGCAGATCCTCAAGGTGTTGGAGCGGGACACGCAACTCAAAAAAGCGGAAAAAGAAAGGCTGAGGTAGGAAATCCTTTCTTGGGTCGCTTTTGCAGTTCTGCACCGACTGCATTCTTGCGGTGCGTGCAAGTAATAATAATAATAATAATAATAATAATAGTAAAGTTGGAAGGGACCTTGAAGGTCATCTAGTCCAACCCCCTGCTCAGGCAGGAAACCCTATACCATTTCGGACAAATGGCTGTCCAGTCTCTTCTTAAAAACTTCCAGTGTTGGAGCATTCACCGCTTCTGGAGGCAGGTTGTTCCACTGGTTAATTGTTCTCACTNAGTTTCCACCCGTTGCTTCTTGTCCTGCCTTCAGGCGCTTTGGAGAATAGCTTGACTCCCTCTTCTTTATGGCAACCCCTGAGATATTGGAACACTGCTATCATGTCCCCCCTCGTCCTTCTCTTCATTAAACTAGACATACCCAATTCCAGCAGCCGTTCCTTATATGCTTTAGCCTCCAGTCCCCTAATCATCTTTGCTGCTCTTCTCTGTACTCTTTCTAGAGTCTCAACATCTTTTTTAAATCGCGGTGACCAAAAAGTGGAGGCGCTTTGAGAGCCTCTTTGCAACCTGTTGCTTTCCCCCCAATGTGGAAAGCTTAAATCCTACCCTTTTGGAGGGCAACACATTGGAAGAAGGAGCCCTTCACAAGAGGCATGGGCAAGAAAGAGATGCTATCTAAATCTTTATGGTCCTTTTATGATGTGGGTAACCTTGGTCCCTGAGCTTTGGAACATTAGTTCATCTGATTTTTATTCCTGAGCCTAGGGTGCTTTTTCACAGCTGCAGGTTGCTTCACTCCAGTCTAACTGGGAGTACATTTAGTTCCCGGATCTCTTCCCCGGCATACATTTCCTTTACAAGAAAGACAAAATTGTTGAGTTAAAAAAAAGAAATCGGTTGGTCTTGAGGCAATACAGGCAGATTTCAGCTGCTTGGCAAACTGATAGTATAGCTGAAAAAGGAAAAGTAGAACAAAGGACATATTCCGAGGTGCTCACTTTCTACAGTAGTTCCAAAACTTGAATTCAAACTATTTCCAGTCCACAACTCTTGTAGATTCCTGGTTGATTCATATGAAGTTATATCTGTTTTTCTTCGACTTGTTTTTTTTTTTATTTTGATTGGGCTGCTTTTTTTTCCTCTTCAGCACACAGGATAAAGCAGGGGTCTTCAAACTTGGCCCTTTTCTGACTTGTGGACTTCAACTCCCAGAATTCCTCAGCCAGTGTGCCTGGCTGAGGAATTCTGGGAGTTGGTCCACAAGTCATAAAAGGGCCAAGTTTGAAGATCCCTGTGATAAAGGGAAGGCATTGACTACACCCTCGTTCATCTCCCGTGGGTTTTTTTAATACATCTTGGATATTTCAACAGAGTGCTTCAATAAATTTGTTTGAAATAAACCCAGCTGGGTTTTGGGCTGGATTAAAAAAAATAGGATTTTGTTTTAAATTACCTTTTACTACTTATTTATACTCTATGACTAGCCTTCAAACATTGAAAGGAAGCAATTTCCTTTGTGACAGAGCCTTGAGCTTTGTTCCCAAGGAAAGGTCTATTCTGATGTTCCCATTGCTGGAGAAATTGTAAGCATCACTGCCTCATTTCATTATGAGCCAGCTGTATGCGTATATATATATGCATTATGAACCATCCTAAACATCTGCATCAAAAGTCAAATTTGGGTCAGCTGAATGGAATCAAAACTGTTTTACTGAAATTGTATCATAGAAATCATCATAGGTGAGGCTTTTCATGTAATCATTTTTATCAGGATTCTCGGATGTGATAGTGCCATATGAAAACGAGTCTTGTCAATTTCCACACAGTTTATTTCAAGGTACTATGAGTTCAAGTATCTGATTAAAATCACAGCCTTCCTGTGTCACACTCCTTGAGAGTTAATTTCATTGTATGTAGTGGATTTCTTTTCAAACTAAACGTATAAGGAATTTGAGCTTCTTCCTCTACACCATGGGTGTCAAACTCGCCACATCATGTGACGTGTCGCAATGTATCGCAACTCTTTTTGCATTGCCGGCAATGGGGTGGGTGCGGCTTCGGTATGATGAAACCGGCGGGCTGGCAGTTTGACACCCCTGCTCTACAGTATGCTCACTTGTTTTTGACTATTAGCATTCGTAACATAGACTATGCAAACAAATTGAGTACAGGTAGTCCTCGACTTACAACGGTTCGTTTAGTGACTGTTCAAAGTTACAGGGGCACTGAAAAAGTGACTTATGACCATTTTTCATACTTATGGCTGTTGCGTCATGGAGAAAATTCAGATGTTTGGCAACTGACTCATATGGTGGCAATGTCCCAGCGTCATGTGATCACTGTTTATGACATTCTGATAAGCAAAGTCAGTGGAGAAGCCAGATTCAGTTTACAACTGTGTCATTAAATTAACTGCAGTGATACACTTAACAACTGTAGCAAGAAAGGTCATAAAATTGAGCAAAAGTCATTTAACGAGTGTTTCACTTAGCAACAGAAATGTTGGATTCAATTGTGGTCATACGTTGAAGACTACCTATATACTTGGATGTTGAAAGATTTGAGCCTGAGTTTTGCGACATTAATTTTCAGAATCTTTTCTTTGCCTCTGTTGTCTGTTCATTTGCATGTTAAAAGTGTCATCTTCATTTAAAGAGTGCATAACGTTAATTTTCAATACCATGTAGAGCCTGAATGAAACAAATTATAAATCTAAGTTATAAATAAATATATAAATAAACTTAGTATTGGCTCCTAACAAGATAAAATGAAGCTTTTGTCTGAATATAGACTGCTTTGTTTCTGGACTTTATTTCATTTTTTAAATTCCTCCCAAACTCCAAAATCTTTCTGTAGGGGATTTTCTTCTGTAGCTTGCTTGGATAATAGAAAGTGAGTTCAGTTGGGTTATTAGCAGCCAGAATGGGACTGCTTTGTCTTAGGTCAGTGATTCTTATTTAGCTAAGTGCCATCTTATCCTAAATCTCATGTACAAAATATCATGAGCTATCCCAACTTAAACATTAGATATTTTCATTTGTTTTTAGACATATGTCAGCTCCTCATAGTCTTTCTTAGTCATAGACATAACTATGTGTTAAGTCCACATAGTTTTTCTGTGTGCTATATAAGTATTGTTCTTCTTTTTCCAGTGTAGCATCTTCCAAATATGTTAAAGCTGCATCTCTGAGAATTCAGCTATGCTGCTTGGAATTTAGGAAATTGTCATCCCAATATATTTGGCTGGCTAGGGAATTCTGGGAGTTGAAGTCCACAGGTCTTAAAATTGCCAAGATTGGACACCCCTGGCATAGTCTGTTCTTGGAGTCTGTGTTGGACCTACTCAGCTAAAGAACATAAATACTATGGGAATTCATCATGGATCTTATTGATTTTGCAACCTCATTTTTAATAATACTCCCTGTCAATATCTACCATAGGGTGTCTAACAGGCTACAAAGTATTTGTTGAAGGGTCTTCCTCATGGCATTGACTCACTGAGATCTTCTTAGGAGAATAAAAGTGTTCCACATGTTTTGTGGAGGAAGGACAGGGATGATTTTATAAATTAATTTTGAAGGTATTAATATTGCTATTACCTCTTCCTTTTTCAAGGTTCCAAGTTATGTACAGAGAAATTTAGACAGATGGGATTAAGACAGATCAACAAATATTGACAACTTTTACCTTTCTTCATTAGCAAATGGTCTTATTTATGAAAAAACCCTTCTGCTTATGGATTGTAGAATTTAAAATAAAACCAGGGTGCTACTTCAAAATTCTTAACCCATAAAAATTTACTGTTTTTCTAAAAACTTTTCATTTCCACAGACTAATCTAGGTGACAGTAAAATATTGATTTTTTTAAACAGTTGTGTAACTGCAGTATACTGGAAAATATCAACTTGTACATCTTCTACTACCTTCTATCTCTGTTCAACGGTCTAAAGACATTGCAAAACCATGATCTGTCCACCTTGTATGCTATAATAAGCTTGGCCCATAGAATAGATTTTCAAATCTGCTGCCTGTAGATATGCTGGATTTTAAGCCCCATAATTCTTAGGTAGTATGGCAGTGAAAAACTTTGAATGGTCAACATGGCACTAAAATAATAGATTAAAACTAGCTTTGATTTGGCAAGTATTTATTAATGCTGATTGAGTTCACATGTTTGAACACATATGATTTGAATATGCCATTATTTAACTTGGTAATATCTATCATTGAAACAAAGGGAGTGCTTGAAAGCATTTAATTCACGAACCTCAATTTTTCTCCTTTTCCTTAAGGCTTATGGCTTAGCTTGGAATTTAATTACCAGCAATATCCCAAGGCAAATGGAAATTGGCCCTTTTTGTGTACCACTGTACCTGGATCTCTCCCCATTAGCATAAAAAAATAAGTTGCACAAACAAAAATGCTGCTGCTATGCCACTCCACTCCTCTTTCATGTCGGGTGAGAAGGCACATTTATATAATAACTGATATGGGTCTATCTATGGAGATTCTCAGTCATCTAGGTTATGGTTGTCTCAAAGGTGCTTCTTCAAAAGGCAACTGGACTTTCTTTGGTTTTCCTTGAAGACGAGTTTCGCTTCTCATCCAAGAAGCTTCATCGGTTCTGGCAGGATAGTGGAGGGAAGGGGGGATGGAAGGATCCTAAATGTTAAGGACCAGATGACTGCAAAGAAATATGACCCTTCCACCATCCCCATCATGTCAGAACTAATCCTTCCTTTCCCCTTCCCATCCCACCATTCTGCCAGAATCAATGAAGCTTCTTGGATGAGAAGCAAAACTTCTTCAAGGAAAAACACTGATATGTGTTTACTCAAAAGTACTTTAATGGCACTTATCCCCTGTAGTAAGCAAGTATAACAAGGATACACATCCTAAAGCCCAATTAAAATTATAACTTACAAGCTGCCTTGCGTAATGTAGTTTGTAGGCCAAATTCATCTGGAAGATACCAGATTGGAAGATTACAATAGAGACAATAAGTTGCCT